AAATATTTCTCTTCCAGATGTGACAACATCTCTAATTATAATGGGCAAGGAGACTCAAGCTTGTCTATCACTTTTTTTTCTGATTAAATAAGATATTATATTTCAGTGCAGTTCTCATCAGGTATTAAGGTCAAGTTCTGCCAGGGCACATATAAATGTGATAAATGTGTTGGATGATCTATACTACTGTGCAAGTTATCCATGATCTCTGAGAGAAAGAAATCTTTCCACTCAGCTTCTTGGAAGATGCACCAGAATTTTGAGCTGGAATTTGTTTTAGAAATTTGCTTCCCTAAGAGAAAATTTGTAGGGCACAGCAAGGGCTCAGGGAAAGATACTTCTCTGATGGGTAACCTTGGAGAAAGATCTATTGATGAAACTATTAGCTTCAATATTTGTAAAATGCTACAGGAGCACAGGTGTGGTGGGAACCTCCTCTGTGACCTTACACTGAGCATGGTTTTCCATCAGAGAAAGTTTACAAAGGACAGCAGGTGACACTGAGTTGACTCCATATGGCTCCAGGCACCACAATAACACATTATGGTTCTGAATAATGCAGTATAAATCCTCAACTGCCAAGGGGGAGCCACCCACAATAAAACTAAACATAATCTCCAGCACCCACGTCAGGTCTTGTTGAATCCTTTGTCAGGAAGCTGCATAAACAGATGAGCCCTGAAAAACATTGTGAAGGGGGACAAATGTGGGGAAATTTAGGATATAACATAAGGTAAGGAGGAGAAGAAACCTCTCCACAGTTTTAGCCCAGTCATGTAGATTGTCCTATTCATTGGTTAATGGTGTGGAAAAATAGCTAGGCAATCTGAAGTGCCTCAGCTCTCTGAAAGGCTTCCCATTCCATCCTTATAACTGGAAAAGTGGAAAATGCATGGCTGCTGGATGCTGGATTGCCAGTACCAAGGATTGGTGCTGGTATGATGGAAGGCATGAACAAAATTGCCACTGATGTATCAGCAATAATCTTTGATTTATAAGTCATCTGGCTAAATGAAAGATTCAACTGCAATTCTCTGGAAGTTTGACACCTATTAGACAAATAGACTGAAAATGCTTAGTCTGATAAGAATTCATCTCCAAACCAACAGCACAGGCGGACCTGCTCCATGAGCTACAGACAGAAAGCCTGCAGAGAACCAGAGCTGACCTGTGAATATAGCCCTGGAAGACAGTTTTGGAGATGATATCAGTGGGATACCGAATGCAGAAAACCCACATCCCAAACCCCAAACCTCTTTGTAATTTTAGTTGCTTCCACAGAAACAGGAATGTGCCCGTACTTAGTAAAGAAGCAAACTTACAGCAAGAAATAACAAATTTGTGCAATCAACTTTTCACACACACAAAAATAATCCACCAAAGCTGATGATTCAGACCTAGAGGCAAGTGGATTTTCAGTGAAAGCAGCACAGCTGCTATTGTACACAAGTGAGTTGCTTTCACTAAGGGACATGCTGACAGTGTCCCCTAAGGGTAGATGTAGCTTCCCCCTGTGTACTTCTTGTGGTGGAAAGAGAAGGGGCTCTGGAGTGACAAATGAAGATGTTTCACAAGCTGAGTGCTTCTGACTAAAGTTCTGATAGAGCAATGCTGGCAGAAACCGTCTGATGCAGATATGGAAACTTTTCTCCTTCAGCCTGTTTATTTTTCATGTTGATATTTACATTGCTTCTACACCCAGGCTCTACTTCTATTTCCACAGAGATCCAAAGACTATAGGGCAGGAATGCACATATTTTTAGTACTAACAGAACACCTAGAACAACACAACCCTTCCTGCAGCTGACATTAAAACTTTAATTATAAACAAAAAAATAGAAGAATTTCCATTTGATCAGCAAGTATTTCTTTTTGAAATATCCCAGAAGCTTACTTTAGAAGGTGTTTTTTTTTTTAGAAGAACTAGAAGACAGTACTGCAAAAGCCAATAGGAGTGGTCAGTATAGTGAAATCACTTCAGGAAGGATATAAGCAGTGGTATCTTCACCATATTTAAGAGGAGGAATATGGGCAGTATCAGCCTGGAATAGGTATGAAATGTTTGTATTTATAGTCCTGAGTTACACAAGATGCAGAGAAAGCATGTGGGAGGTGCACACCAGAGAGAACAGGAGAGGAACTGAGCTGCAAGCCCAGATCTGCTTTAAAATAGGCTCCATCACACCAAGATATCTGTTCAGTGCCACCATAGGGATGTTGCTCACTGACCACCCAAATCTGCCTCACAGCTTCCTTCAGGAGTCCCACTGATGAGAAACCATGGAGGCATCTGTCTCTCACAGCTCTAAGGGGAAACCTCCCCTGACTAATCATCCTTTGCATTAACACCTTTACTCTGAACCTCTGCTCAGCATCCTTGGTGCTCAGCAGGACACTGCAATGCCACTGCATGGGCAGCAGGGCTTAGGCTGCCAAGTCTGAGGAGGGAGAGAAGCACATCTGATACCCTAAGCAGTGTTTTTGTTTGCTATCCTCCATTTATAAAGAGAGGATTTGAACTCATAAAATAGGATGTTTTTTCCTGGGAAGCAGGGCTCTGCATCCATGGTGTCACCCTGCAGAATCAAAGCCCTCATGACAAGCTCAGGAGGGTAAGACAATTGGTGTAGATGGGTGGCCCCCACCCATGGACACCCCTTACAAAGCAGTATGTCCCCAGATAGTGCAGGATTGTGGGGATGAGTCACCTGTGTTCTCCAACCTGAATGAGGCTCCTACCACCTCCTCCTTCCACATCCCTGGACACCTTCAGACCATTCTGTCTGCACAAAGTGGCAAGGAAGAAGCAGAGTAATGGTCATTCCCAATCTCACCTGCTCAGGTCACCCCTTGTGTTCTGCAGGGGCTGATCCCTTGCTGTGCCATCACTGATCCCAGTTTCCCTCAGCAGTACCACTGTTACAAGCATATGTGACAGAACATAGAAATCCTTTGCATTCTTTGCTGGGGAAATCAGTTGTCTGTGTGTAACATTGAAATAATTTTCAGTACATTTCTATCCTTTCTTGCTGCTGTATCAGAGAATGTGTATCACACATTCCTGAGACACAGAGGAGATGCGAGGTTAAAGACAATGCCATCTACAGAAACCAGCAGCTATGAAGGAGTCAGGGGAATGAGAGCATCCTCCCAGCTGGGAGGATAAATTCACTGTAGCTCTAGGTATGTCCCAGGACAGTTTTAAAAAACTTTATAGAGAGCCCCATTTTAAAGCCTTTTCTTGGGGAAAATCAGTTGTTCTTGGTCGTGTTGAAGAGCTGTTGAAAGAAGATTGGTTTAATATGACCTTATAAAAGACTCACATAAAAGCCAGAGGGAGCAACAGGAAACAAGGGAGATTTATTGTTAAGGTATCAGAGGAGCACTGGGAAATACCAACATTTGATTCTTGGTTGTGATGGTGGCCTTAGGTAAAGCACTCAGAAACAAGCTTGGAAGAACTTGTTTAGGAAGCTTTTCAGACTCAGGGCCTCAGTGGGAACCGGGGGTTCAGGGCACAGCTGACCTTGCCAAATTTTGATAGTGATTGTGAGTGATGAGCAAATCAAACTCTGAATTTAGAACCTTCCAAGAATCTTAATTCATCTCTGTGCCTCTTTTTCTCCCAAGTGTAAAACAGTGAAAACAAATATTTTTCCACTGTTGTAAAGAGAAGTATATGAATGTTTGCTGAGATACAGTGGAAACACAAGCCACAGAGGTAAATAAGATGGGTACTGCATTAAAAAATATCCCAAGTCCTGTTTTTATCCAAATGGTGGATTAGTGAAAACAATCCAAAACAGTGGAAGTCAATGCAACTAAATTATTAACCACACAGCCATTTATGTGAAGAATGTCATCTTTTTGTCTGATAGTGATTTCCACTGGGATAGTACCACCATTTTATATGCTCTGTAAGTCTGATACTGAAAGTACTGGTGAATACAGTCAATATCATTACTTTTCTTAAAAATATTTTTTCTGGGCCTGTTTAATAATCCAGAGGTGATAAACAAACTAGCTTATTTAAAGATCATTTAGGGATGAGGAAGCCTTTTTTCCATTGACATTTCTGAATGGAAAATTCTGCTGAGACAGTCTACAGCTCAGACTATTAGGATAGCAGACAAACCTTTAACAGTGCATCTGACCCATTACTGATTTATGAGAGAACAATGTTGGAATAAATATGAATAAAAAGCCACCCTTTCACGCAATTTGGTACATCAATGTTGAAATTGTACTAGGATAAACAACTGCCTTGCAATAAGCATGTTCATTCATTATTCAGTGTTAAATCTTAATTGTTGCTCATTTCAATTTCTTCGTGCTAAGTGTTTCTAAATTATAAATAACCTGGCAACTCTTATAGTATACACTCTGTTAAGGAAAAGGTAAGTACAGAAATAAATTATTAAAGTGTTCTGCTTAACTATTGCCACACAATTCATCTCAGGACTGGGAGAGCAAGGCAGCCACTTTGATAAATTTGAATAGATATTGGGAGTCTATGGACAAGGAGTGTATGGACAAGCCACGCGTCTATGTTGCATAAACAGACTTTGTGTCTGTTTATGAAGATTTTGTGTGTGTATACGTCTTTACAGAATTGTTACACTGTGATCTTCACTCTGAGGTTTGATTTTTGTCCTTTCATGTCATTGGCAAACTGTCCTGACCTTAGTGAGAATAGAATCATATCCTAAATATACACATCACTGCTGTGTTCTCCCTTTGATCTGAGCACTGAACTGTGATTGACGTTAAAGAAAGACCAGCCCAAATCATTTTCATGCCCTGAGCAAGCATCAAACACAAGACTCCTTCATGTCATGTCTCTTATTCTCCTCTTTCGTGTCTCTCTTATTTATGTATTTACCTTAATTTGCTTGGAAGAGAGTCTTGTTTGCCTCAGGGAAGGATGGTTGTGTGATTTAGACACCTCACATCTTTGTATCTCCTTTTGCCTTTTCTAATTCTTTCCATCTCTTCTTTAGAGGTCCAGTGGAAAGGCTTGACTTGTTCTTCACTGGCTTGTGGGACAGCACTTCATATCTGGCAATGGATCAGAAGGACTGAAGAGCATTTTTGATCCCACCAATGTTTCTTAGAGCTGCTAAAACAGGACCAATGAAAATGTTCACCAGACTCCAAGTCCTCGCCCTAGCTTTATTTTCCAAAGGAGTTTTCCTTTCCCTAAGTGACCACAGTTTTGTCAGAAAGGAAATTAAGATAGAAGGAGACCTGGTCTTAGGAGGCTTATTCCCAATCAAGGAAAAAGGCACTGGGATAGAAGAATGTGGAAGAATCAATGAAGACCGAGGCATCCAGCGCTTGGAGGCCATGCTGTTTGCTATTGATGAAATCAACAAAGACAACTACTTGCTGCCAGGAATTAAGCTTGGAGTTCATATCTTGGACACGTGTTCCAGGGATACATATGCCTTAGAACAGTCTTTGGAGTTTGTCAGGGCATCTTTGACTAAAGTGGATGAAACAGAGTACATGTGCCCTGACGGCTCATATGCCATCCAAGAGAATTTGCCACTGCTCATTGCAGGAGTCATAGGTGGTTCCTACAGCAGCGTCTCCATACAGGTGAGTCACAGCAGCCCCACCAGGTGAGAATTGTTTATCTGCAATTCCGCTGACAGAACCATATGCTTATGGCTTATGGCCACTGTTTGCCAATAAAGCACGTCTTAGCTTGATCACTGTACCCTAGGGGTCAATCTAGCATATCATTTTTACTGAATTTACATTTGTTCGATTCACTCTTTAAAATATTGTAGTACAAACCTCCAGCAGATGTCCACTCCTTCTAGTTGTGGTGTATCCTGAAGGCATCTGAAGTTTCCAAAAGTCTTAGTATTTGTTTTGAACTTGGCATTTCATGACACTTCTACAGCTCTAAGTGCAGATTATCTGTTTTCACATCAATCATAAATGATACCACCTATGTGTCTGAATATATGTGTGCCTGCCATGCTGCATGTTCATAACATTTGTCATTTTAACAACAGAATTTAAAATGAAAAAATAAATTGTTGTCTTACTTCTAGTCACTAGTGAGCTTCCCCAAGGCTCAGTATTGGGCCTTTCCTGTTTAATATCTTTATCAATGACCTGGATGAGGCAGTCAAGTGTACCTCAGTCAGTTTGCAGATGACACACAGTTGGCCGGAGTGCTGATCTGCTGGAGGGTAGGAAGACTCTGCAGACTGAATCAATGGACTGAGGTCAGTGGTATGAGGTTCAATAAGGCCAAGTACAGGTCCTGCACTTGGGTCACAACAACCCCCTGCAGCACAACAGGCTGGGGGAAGAGTGGCTGGAAAGTGTCCCAGCGGAAAAGGACCCAGGGGTGCTGGTTGACACTGGCTGGACATGAGCCAGGTGTGTCCAGGTGGGCCAGAACCCAATGGAGTACTGGCTTGTATCAACAGTGGTGTGCCCGGCAGGATCAGGGCAGTGACCTCTGTGTTAGGCACTGGTGAGGCCACACCTCACATTCCCTGCCCAGTTCTGGGCCACTCCCTGCAACACTGAGGTGCTGGAGCATGTCCAGAGAAAGGCAACAGAGATGGTGAAGAGTATACAGAGAAAGTCCCATGAAGAACTCCTCCTAAAGGAGCTGGGGGTGTTTAGCCTGGAGATGAGGAGGCTCAGGAGACTCAGAGGGGACTTTAGAGCTACAGATACCTGAAAGGAAGTTGTAGCCAGAAGAGGAGTGCCCTCTTCTCCCTGGCAACCAGTGACTGATTGAGAGAAAATGGCATCTAGCTGTGCTAAATGAGGTTTGGATTAGACATCAGGAGGAATTGATCACAGAAAGGGTTGTTAGAGCATTGGAATGGACTCCCCAGGGAGGGAGATGGTGGAGTCACCATCCCTGGACATATTAAAGAAATTACTGGATGTGGCACTCGGTGCCATGGTCTAGCTGATGTGGTGGTGATCAGTCAAAGGTTGGACTCTGTGATCTTGGAGATATTTTCCAACCTAAACGATTCTGTGATTCTGTGGTCACATTATTTTGGGTCAAATAAAACAAGCCAGTTCACATAACTCATAATCACAAGTGGTGTCTTGACCACCGACATAGACTAAGACCATGCATCAGGTGTTTCTTCACGGTCAGCTGCAGGTTTCCAAAGGCATCAAGTCTCGACAGTGCAGGATGTCCTTTCAGACTCACTATGGGATGTTTTTCCAGACTCAGGCCTTAATCACTCCACCAGTGTCAACAGCAATAAGAGTTCTCGTGTACTGCAGACTATCCCAGCAGTGACAGAAAGCCCACAGAACCTCATTTGCCTGTTTCATAAATAGGGCAAGAGTTCATCCAATGTTCGTTTCAATCAGATTTACTCTGGGGAGATGGTTGCTGCTCTTGTGAAGGCATTAAATCCCATCAGTTGGGAGCATGGTCAGATCCCATAGGACATGCATGAGCACAGAAGAATTTAAAGAAATTACATTTTATTTCCTTTTATATTCCAATGTGTAATATTCATCTGTATATTCATAGTAGGGAATATAATAGCAAATCCTTACCCATGCTGCAGGAGAACAGTTTCTGCTGAGGAGAACCTCAGCCATCTCTTGTAGTAGAAAAGGTTTTGTCCCACTGTGGACCAGGTAGCAGAGCAGGAATGTATCCTTCACCAGTTATGTGGGTCTGATCACTTGAAGCACAAAGAACAAGTTTCAGGCTGAAAAAGAGACATTTGAAGGGGGAAAATGATAGCTACAGAACCCTGGGCAGCACAAACTGTTAAGGAAATCATTATTCATTGTCTCTTCCAATCACACAAAGAGTACATCAAATGAAACCAGCAAATGCTAGGTTGTTGTGGATGCTAAAAGCTAAATGAGTTCCTGAAGTCACCAGAAACAGAAAGAAGAAATTCTGTAAGATATGTCATTTGGTTCAGCAGTTGCCAAAACTACAACTGTCTGAAGGCTGGTAAAATATTTTGAAGCATCATATTACTGCCCTGTCTCACTGGTGGAGGAGTGTCAGGTTTTTTGCTGTACCTTTGGCTTGTGGTCAGTGTGTTTCTCAGTCCACCCTGAGTTTAAGTGTGTCCAAAGGACATGAAGATATGAGGTAGCCTAAAAGACATACCTATAAAAGTTGCTACAGCAGAGGAAATGGTACAGGTGTTTCATTCCCTCCCAGAAACCCAGAGCGAGTGAGATCACTTTTCTAAAGTAATCTGTGGCCTCTTGCACAACATCTGCCAGCCTGTCCCTTTGAAGACAGTCTCTGGTGATCACTGATCTAAGACTAAATCCATGTCTGAGGCAGTAGATTGGATACAGTACACATCCAATATATATAATAGAGTGTATATAGATGTTTCATATTCCAAAATCTTAGGTTTGGAGCACCTGTCCAATGGAAATTGGAAGTCCTGATTAGAGATTTTCTCAACAGTACATGTAAAAAATGGTAATATAGTTGTATGAAAACTGTACGTCACCCAATTTTCAAAACCTAAGGAGGATGATAGAATAATACTTATAGTTAATATTACTCTATGATCTTCCCTAGACTTGTCAATAATTTTTCAAATGTAAGATATTTCTTAACACAGTTCTTCAGAAAAATAGTTTTACAAATCATTCAACTTGTCATCAAGCATCTTCCAGCAAGAAAATGTATTCATTTATTTTCTCTTGACATGGATTGTGTTGGCCTTCCTTCAGTCTCTCTTTTCTAGCTTTCCTTTAGATTTCACACCACCTAAAAAAGATGTAATTAAGCCCTAGAAAAGACATAATTAAACCATCCACTCCTGTTGCCCATCCCGTTAAGATAGCCAGTCACAAGTTCTGTTTCAAAAGAAAATCCCTGTCAAGAATAATAGACATTGCAGACTCAAGCCTGAAATTGTAAGGACTTTCAAGCATTAAAGGCAAGCATTTTGGTGCCATAGCAATTTCAGAGCCAGTCACCTGTACAGAGTAGCTCCAGTAACCATTGGAATCACACCACTGCTGAAAGTCAAAATATTTCACCAGCTGTGTTTGTGTGTGTGTGTGTGCAAGGCTCAGCACCCCTGCTCCCTGTGTTTTCAAGCAGCATCCAGGGTGCTGGATGCTTCCAGATGTAGCCCTGGCAAGCGTTTTTCTTTTGCTGAGAGCTGTAAACACCATAAAGTCCACAGTGCAGTTCCTTAGCCTTAAAATAAAACATGCTGAGTTCTTCAGACAAAAATTATTTCTGGCTTTTTTTTTCCCCCCTCCTGTGAATTTGTCTTTATATTTTAATATTTTTTTCTTCCCCTCCCTTCACCCTCCCTCTTCTGATTTTTGTCAGGACAGCTGTCTGCCAAATAACTTCATGATGTTCCTGCTGTCAGATTTGTACTTCTTTCATTACCCTTCCACTAAGGAATAAAAGATTTTGCTGGTAAATCAGCAATGAACACCTTCCCCACTGAGTCAGTATGTGCGATAGGCACTTTCTGCAGAGACTAAAAACAACAAGAGAATGCAGAATGCTTAATTATTTTCTGGTCAGACTAGGCTATTATCGTTAATGATGATCTGGATAATTACTTTTTAGATGTTGTGTTTAAATTAGCAGAGAGCCCAATCTGCACAGCATTTGATCCTTCAAAACTCAAGCCAGAATTCTTAGTCAATGGAAAAGCTCATGTTAAAAAAAAATAAATAAAATAAATTGAAAAGCTGTTTTCATGAAATACAATTCTGACTTGAGTTGAATTTAGCATCAGGAAGTGAAGAATTCAAAATTTGGAGGGTTTTCTTTTGGACTCATGGCTTTTAATCTGAGCCAAGTTATCCACTCTTTCTTAGTTTACAACGGAAATTTCAAACACATTTTCCTTGGAGAGGCTGACATGGTAAAAAATGATAAGAAAAAGAGGCAGTATTCATTTGCAGAGGAGCACTTGCATAGCCAATCCCAATTCCATGTTTAACATACTTAGGTCAGCTCTTGTCAGGAATATGCATGTGGAAGCATGATTACTTTTATTCAGGTGCTGGATTTGCTCTTCCCTCTTTCTGAACACTGGATTATTCTTCTGAAAATTAAGACTAGGGTCCATTCCCTGCAGTCAGTGCTTAGAAAAACTTAGACATTCCTTAGGTGGGCTGGATTTTTTATTTCTATGTATACTATATTCACATGGATGTAAAGATTTCAACCTGGCTGTCAACCCACAGGACCTCTGGATCATGACCATGAAAGTTATTTGAAAGTTAGAGCCTCATCCAGAAAAAACAGCAGAACAGAAACCAGTGCCCTGCTGTCTTCTCTTCAGTTCCTTGCTGTGTCTCAAGTAAATTGTAACAAAACCACTGGAGCAGGTTTAACGGTGCATTACTGCTATCACAAAAGCTAAAGCCACTCCTAAGTGAGTGACCATCTGGCATGAAATTCAAAATATGTACTCATTTACTGGCAATCTTTTCCTGGCTGTCATTCTCCTTAGCCACAAAAGTCTGCCAAGGGCTCATGGAGCCTGAAAGCTAATCACCTCCATTTTCTTCCTCCATGGATAAAACATCTTTCAACCAGAGTCTTAACAATAGCTTCTGACTTCCATCACTATTTGAAA